AGGCACTGAAGAAATGTCCTGTGATGCTTGGTGGAATAATGCTTGTATAAACCAGAGTTCCTGCCCTTAGATTTCCTGGACATCCCTCCTCCTTAAGCAAAGGAAAACCATCAGAGGTTTTCTTTGAGATCCTAAGTTTTAACAGAGAAAATGCGAAACCAGCATCACATAGTTATTAAAAGCACTGATTTTCAGGTCGAATAGACCTGGTTTTGAATTTCTGCAAGTGTCTTAATTACTTTGAGCCTAGAGCTCCTCATCTAGAAAGTAAGGACAATAGCTTCTTCGCAGGATCATTTAGAGGAGCAAGTAAACTGTGACAATTACTTCCACAATGTACAGAGCAGGTGCTCAACAAAAGGCCAAGATTATCCCTGGTCCCTTCTGATACCTCTCTGAAAACTAGGAAGAGAGCAGCCCACCTACAGCCACTTTTCATAAGCAAATGAAAATCACACTTACTATTCCCAAAAGCTTTTAACTGCGCACCTGCTGTGAATATAAGCAGCCCTATCACCCCATTCCCCAGACACTCATGAACAATAAGCAGGTAGATTGTGGTTCTACTTTCTCCCTCTCAGAACCATAAGAAGGGATTGCAACCTGAATCCAAAGTTTCATCCATTCATTTTTTTATTAACTCATTCACCAAACCTTTACTGAAATATTACCATGAGCCAGTCACTGGGCATGGCTCTGGAAGTACAGAGGTGAGTGACAAGTCCCACCAAGTCCCTGCTCTCATGGAGCTTCCAATCAAGATGGCACCCAGGCATTTTTTAAGCCACATGGATGGCATTACTATAAACTGTGGCAAGGTCCCTGAAGGAAAACTACAGGGATATACAAGCACATGCAAAAGGGAGAACCTACTCTAAGGATACGAGAAGAAAGAAAGTGAGGCACAGACTTTATGCAACTGGAGAGAAAAGAAAAGAGTGCCACAGGACCTGGGAGAGGGTCAACATGGCAGGCTGGCAGGCTATGGAATCCCTTGGGACTTTAAAACAACCAAAAATGCAAATCCTCCAAGTCATTTCTCTGCTTAGCTATCCTTCCCTCCACCCATTAGAGTCCCAAAGCTACATGTTCCAGGACATACATTGTTTCGAGAACAAGGAGCTGTTTGATCACCAGGATTACCATGCAGCTGTTACTGCAGCCCAGCCCGCGGCAGCTCCCCCAGGGGGAGAGCAGATCCGGCTAGCGACACTGCCATCTGGTCCAGTGTGCAGAGAAGTCAGGGGCGTCCTTACGAGCATGTCTGTGAGGCAGACGTCCAGTATGTCCCCAGATGTACACATAGCCAAAAATCTCAATTTACAAGAATGTTCAAGAACAAAACTGTCACCTTCACATATAATAACTGGCCTGTGGGAAGAAAAGTAAAGTAGGTGAGAGTCATACATCGTGTCTAAGTATCATACCCTAGATCTGAAAGGTTAGAATCAAAGACAGAACAAAATCACCTATTTTCAAAATTATGTTGGTAGATAAGAAGTTTTTCAGAATTTTCAATTGGAAAAAAAATGCATAGGTAACAGAAATACAAAGCATTACTAGAGACTACTACAAAAAACTATATGCTAACAAGTTGGAAAACCTAGAAGAAATGGACAGCGTCCTAGAAAAATACAACCTTCCAAGATTGACCAAGGAAGAAACAGAAAATCTAAACAGACCAATTACCAGCAATGAAATGGAAGCAGTAATCAAAAAACTACCCAAGAGCAACATTCCCAGGCCAGATGGATTTAGCGCAGAGTTTTATCAGACATATAGAGAAGACATAATACCCATTCTCCTTAAAGTTTTCCAAAAAATAGAAGAAGAGGGAATACTTCCAGACTCATTCTATGAAGCCAGCATCACCCTAATACCAAAACCAGGCAAAGACTCCACTAAAAAAGAATATTACAGACCAATAGCCATGGCCCACAAAGCCTAAAACATTTACTAGCTGAACTTTTACTAAAAAGTTTGCTGACTCCTGTTCTACACTCAGACTGGGTGACAGTCCTTGTTGTCTGGCTTCATGCAAGTTCCTTCGCTTTATTAGTGCTCACTTTCTACAACTCTTCCCACCTTGTACAGTTATCCTGACATTACACACGGCTGGGTAAGCAGTGTGTGCTCACTGGACACCTTCAGTCACTACTATGACTCCCATTTTCACTGTGGGTGCTCCTTGTGCATGTCCAGGAGGTTCACTGCAGCCTCCCCCTGCCCCCACCCAAACTCCACATCCTCTCCCAGGGAGCAGGTTGGAGTCCTCTCTCTCGTTTACTACCCATATGCAGTCGAACATCAAACTCAGCCTGTTAAACCTATTGAACATCTTTCAAATGTATCCTCACCTTTCCACGGCTCTGCTGTGCCCTCTGCCTGAAACGCTATTGTGGATAAAGTGAAGTTTCCTGTGGCCAGGATTCTCACCTGGCCCTGGTTGGCTTGCTCACTACACACGTGTGGGCAATGCATTGTTACAGACTCTATATAAAGAGTTCTGCCCAGTGCTCTGGGCTGCTGCACAGCTGCAGGGCTGCAGGAGAGCAGAGGCTGGAGTGGTGGCAGCACCAAGGACAGAGACTGAGATGGCTGCGGGTCAAGAGGCCCAAAGGCAGACACCGGCTTGCTGCATGCAGACTCGCTCTGAGCGGACGGGATTCTAGTGATTGGCCTGCCACCGTGGGAATAAAGTTGGGTATAAATCCTTTCACCTCAGGAACGTTCCGTTGTCATTTTTGGTCTCACTAAAGCCATAGTGAACTTCCCCGGGGTTGAAACCCCTTGGCAAGATAGCTATTCTCTTAGTCTTCTTCACTTTTCAAAATCTTACTCATCCTTCAAGGGCCTCCTTCTCATAGGCTATCACCTTCAAGAAACCTTCCCTGACAGATTCCCTCAGCCCTTAGCAGAAAGTGCCTTTTCCTTTTCCCTCTGAATCTGCCCCTATAGATGCCTGCTGGGGCACCCATGAGCACTTCTGCCTTCTCTTGCTGTGGCTTTGAGCTTTGTGACAATGGAAAGCCCCTGGAGGGAGTTTAGTTGAAGAAATCTGTCCATTACATCAAGACCCAGTTAATAAATTCCTCCTAGAAATTCCTGCCAGGAAAAGATTTGCTCCAACCAATACACTTATTTATGTTCTTTTATCAGACAGTGAGAACGTCATATGCTATCACCTTTTTACCTCAGCTACCAGGAAGCTTACACCTCAATTACAGTAACTAGCTCCAGGTGTGGGGAAACACCTGTTCACCTGTGTCTTTTAGCTAGTCTGTTCTTTTTTTCCCCTCAGTGCTCTGTACGAGAAGGTGATTTATACATGCTGACTAAACACTGCATTAAAAACTGTTCTGGATGAACTAAGCGTTCTGCAAAGAGATCATGACGTGATGTTTGCAGGAGTTTCCTCTGACACCTAAGGTACTTCCCAATCTTCCTCTTTGTGTCACTCATATTGGTAGTAAAGCAGAAGTGAATATTTATTTCCTTCCAGTTATGCAAAACAGAATCTCAGAGTTTAGATTTACAGAATACTGGGATTAAAACATCCTAATGTAGGTCACCTTTCAGAACAATGGAATAAGGACCTCCAAAAATACACTCCTCAATAAAAGGACATTCCTACAGGGTCCTGGAAAGGAGCAGTGCAGGGCAAGAACCAGGACTCCTGTGCCTTCACATGCTGCAAGGATCCGAAATTCCTCCCTGGGATGGAAGGCAGACAATGAGAGGTTTAGAGGACACCTAATTCTTCTAGGAGTTAAAGGGTGAGAGAGAGGCAGAGAAGGAGAGAGGGAGAGAGAATTTGTTATCTGATTACTAGTGATCTGCTTGTCCAAGTGCCCAAGGTTATCATGTTGCCTAGAAAAGCAAAAATCATCATTTAATTAGCTTCTCCTCAACCACCTCTCTCTGCTCAACACTACCAATTATCCCTGCCCTATTCTAGAAGTCATTTACAATTATGAATACAATGCTACAAGGCTAATCTGTTGCAAAACAAAATTGAGTATCTTGCAAACCATGCAGAATTTAATGCAATCAATTAGTGGCTTATTTGAAAGCAGGACTGCAGACTGGCCACTGACAAATTCAGGTTAAGCAGATTAGATCAGGGAAGAGAAAATCAGCAGGAGAGGACTGGATACATCCCAGGTGAGAATAATTTAAATATCAAAGGGTTAAAAGATGCCTTGGGTAAAACAGTTAAATTCTGGTATACTTTTGCAAAAAGAAATCAGCCTTTTTAAGTGAGTGCTGAAGTTCCTCACAAAACAAAGGCTGGTTCGTTGTGCTCTTACACAACTTTGTCAGCACAAGCTAAAAGTCCATCACCACTTTTTTGTTTATTCTAGGCCTCAGTGCATAGCTGAAATTATAACCTAATTTTCTTAACTAAAAGGTGAAAATAAACTTAGTTTCATCATTTCCAATTTTATTTTAAAGGTGAATTTCCAATCAAACTTTTTTTATAGTGAAATTTTACACCCCTGCTTTCAGGGGAGCGATTTTCTCTCATGTCCTTTCTCTAATTCCAAATGTCCTCAGGCACCAAAGACCAACTGTGGGTTCCAGTTCTTGGAATAACTGCCACCTCTCTGAATCATGCACCCTTCTCAGCCATGGTCACTGGCGGGTTGTTATGGCAACACCCAAGTAATTGTAACCTAGCCAACATTACTGAGCCCTTTCTGCGTATCGGGTACTGCTCCAGGTGTTCTGTGAGCATTAATGCATTTACTCCTCATAATAATACTATGTGATAGATGCCAACATTAACTTCCTTTGATGAGGAAACTGAGGTGTGAAAAAATTAAATAACTTGCCCAAAGTCATCCAGCTAGTAAGTGATAGTTGGCACTGGGTTTACACTGCAGAACCCACGTTCTTTTTGGTGATGCCATAAATATAACATGAGCATTTGGACTTGGTGTCCTGAGAGAAAGAATACTGCTTCTCCTTAAGGCAGAAAGCTGTTTCTAGGACTGTTCCTAAGCCTGGACTCACCTGGCTGTGTTCAGGTTCCAATAGAGCTGCCCAAGGGACTCCAGCAGCCTTCCCTCCATCTCCCTGTCCCTGAGTTGCTGAGCCAGGGTCAGCCAGTGCTCATGGTAGGTGATGCATGCCTCGGGGTTTGGGGACACAGAGTTGTAGAAATGGCAGAGGGATTCAGTGACCTGAAGCTGACCCAAACATAAAGCAGGGACATGAATGAGATCACCTGAGATAGGACAAGGACAAAACATGCTCTAACACTTCTCTGAAGCCTCCTAGCAGCACAGGGCATAGTCACTCTTTAGGTGTCCATGCCTTAAGCCAAACAGCAAAGCCATTTTGTAACAAAGGCGGCTACTGGCCAGCTGGCGTCCATATGCCAGAACTTGGGCCAACCAGAGAAGCACCTGCACTAATTCCATTTCTGTCTCCATGCTGGCCTGGAGTTCAGAATAGAGTTGGACAGACTGCAGAAGATAGTCCCTGGCCAGCTGCTGAGCCCAGGATTTAAGGGTCAAGTGGCCAAGATTTGCCAAAGCCACGGCCTGGTTATGCACATTCCCCATCTCCTGGGCTCTGCTCAAGGCCCAAAGATAGCTCTTGGCTGCCCTGTTCACGTGACCTTCAACTTGAAGTGCAAGTCCTAGGAGGTTATGGACCACCCTCTTTTGGGTAATACTCTCTGTCTCCTTCAGGGAGGTTAGGAGTGACTCGAGGAAGTCCAAAGCCTTCTTCACCTGGCTGGCTAAGAGACAAGCCCATGCCAGGCAGAGGAAAGACTCAAAGGCTTCCTGTGCACCTAGCAGCTGCCCCACAACCAAGCCTTGGCTCAGGAGGTGGATGGTACCATCAGGACACCTGTGCTGCGGGTACACTTTGGAGAGAATGAGACACACGGCCCTCTGGGTTCTCCTGTCAGCCCACTCTTCACAGGCAACCAGTGCCTGCCTGAGTGCGGGGACGGCCAGGGCAGAAACTTCACCCTGGCTTGGGGAGGGAACTCCAAGGAGCTTGGTGGTGTTCTGGAGAACCAGGTGGAGCTGCCAAATCAGAAGGGATGTCCCTCGGACACTGGATACCACGCTGCCAGACAGAGGCCACTGCAAGATGTGGAAGATATTTCTTATCATATAGAAAGCTCAAGAGGGTGGCTGCAGCATCTGAGGCAGCAGGGTGTCCAGAGATGAGTTGCAGGCACTCCACAAATGGTAGAAGCTCCTCATGCCGGCCCAGGCGTAGGAACAGCCGAGTGGCCAGAAAGCAGGCCCTGGCCTCCAGGGGGCAGCTGCCAGCCACAATGCCTTGACGCAGCACATAGGCCACCATGTCCAGCTCATTCTTGCCCTAGACTCACGATCTGGCAGACAGGCCAGCAGGGCACCTGCCTTTTCGAGCAGGGCAGAGCTTTTATGCCTCAGCCTCTGCCTCAGGTAGATGGCAGCCACGTTGATGTACAGAGCAGCCACCAAGGGCAAGTCCTCAAATGCCCCACTGAGAATGTGGATGGCCTCCTCAAAGTATACCCTGGCCTGAGAGAGCTTGACCTTCCTGACACTCAGCCAACCCAGGAGGAAGCAGAGCCAGGCATGGGCCCAGGTCATGTGGCTGTGCTTGGCCCACTTCCTTGAAGCCTCCAGGTAGGCCACAAGCGCATCCTCCTCAGAGAAGCTGTAAAATGAAGATGTGAGGAAAGAGAAGGAGAAATCGTAGAGGCTCTTAAGATGGTTGGCATAACCCTCATGATCCAGAAAAACCAGTATGGGGGTGAAGTTCTGAGCCTCCTCCTCCTCCGGGCCAGTGTTCAGGTCCATGAGCAGCTCTGGGTCACCGGGCCCTCGGGCTCTGGCAGATGGTAGCTGTCTGAGGTGGCTGAGAGGAGCTCCTCCTCCAGGCTGGACTCCTGGGAGCTGCTGTACTGTCTGGGGCCCACAGCCTGCTGCTCCTCCCAGGCTCCAGGAGGCCTGGCCTCCTGGAGGCCATCAGGTCGGTGTGCTATAAGGGACAGGCAGAATTGAGCAACCTTAAGCTCCAGCAGCTCTGCTGGCCAGCTCTTGGCAGAGGACAGGATGCTGTCTGGAAGCGCTGGAGCCAGGTTCAGCAGGATCGCTACTCACCGCTCAGATCGTTTGGAAGATTCTGGATGGATTCAAACCCACCTGGTTGGAGATGAAGGACAGACCTGGTGTTAAGTCAGAATGGGCCACCCTGCCCATGCCTGCAGGTGTACACCAGACCAGCGGGGCCTTAGGAGACAGTTTCAGACCTTCAGGCGTCCCTAAGAATCCTCCCCTCACCATCAGTCTCAGAGCTGCAGTGACTTGGAGGTGATCTGGTGACCCACTCACTGTATGGTTGGATACTGAGATGAAATGGGAGACAGAGTCAGAGGAGGAGAGCTGGAAACATGAGCTCTGTGCCCAGAGGCCAGGGGATGAGGGGGATGTGGGGGTGACAGAGTCGGGAACCCAAGTCCCCCAGCGAGTTTGCTACAGAGCGGGAAGCAGAGTACCACATCAGTGCTCTCTGCGGCACACGGTGCCGTGGCCCAGTTCTGTATGTTCGGGACTCCTTCTTCCTTTCTTGTTCATTCATCATCTGCCCACTCAACAGACATCGCATTAGCGCACACAGTGTGCTTCGGGAGGACTAGGTCACCAAATGTGAATCATGAGGAAAGAAAAGATGCATCTGGGCAAGGGTCCTAGTTTTGTTCCCTGAAGTAACTTACTGGGATGAGGTGGAAGAAGGGACAGTCTTGTGCACAATTCTAGGCATCTTGAGTTTGAGGTACTTGCAGGAGCTCTAGGCAGAGAAGGGAATAGATCTGGAGCTTAGGAAAAAAGTTTAGACTTGCAAATACAAATGGTGACCCACAGTAAGTCACGAGGAAGTGTCAAAGTCCCAGGAGAAGCATTTGGGAGGAAAAGCAAAGCATCTGGAGGGGCAAAGGGTGGCAGCTATGAATGACCCAAAGAATATCAGCATTTGCTGGCAGATGGGGGCCAGTGAAGGAGACAAAAAAGGCACCGTCAGAGGGAAAAGAGGATTCACAGACACCAGGGTGTCCAGGTACAGCCACCTGATGTCTGTCACGAAGGTGGAACCAGCCTTACTGAAAACCAAGAAGACACCTTGGGTTTGCCAGCAAGTGAACCCTCTTGGCTAAAGTGGACCAGTGGAGGTGGAGGCCACATTCTTGCTCCACAGGACAAGGGCTGCTGGAGAGAAGATGCCACCTCTTCCTGGCCAAGAAGCAGCCGCCCCCTGTGTCCTCACCCTAAGTTCTCCAGTGAACTTGGAGAACAGCAGGCCCCTCGCCAAGTCCAGCCTCTGTCTGCTATTTTCTGGGGAGGGATTCTTCTGTGAGTGGCATTGCAGACCCTTGAGACCTGCAGCCCCCCTAAAGGGGAGACAGGTGCACCACCAAACACAGGAGAACTAGAGATCTGGGCTCTGGAGAGCTGTCCATGCACCCTGGCCCTCACTGACATTGAGGACAAGTGCCAGTCTTACTGCAGTCAGTTCCTCTAGGTCAGGACTACTGAGAGTACAAATGGTGCATGAGGTACAAGAGGGTGCTCCCTCAGAAGGAGGAATTAGAGATAGGTACTCTTTCCCCAGGCCTCGGGGGAGCTGGAATTTTCCAATGGGATGCCCCTGCAGCCTGTGTAACCACGAGGTACATCCCTTCACCAAGCAGAGTTGCCCTCCTGGTCTTCAGGTAAGAGGCAACAGGCTCCCTGGGACCTGCTCCTGAATCTCTCCCAGCAATTGGATCAACAGTTAGCAGATGCCTGGGATCCAAGTCTGTGGGCCACTCTGCCCCAAGGTACAACCCAATAGTCCTTCATTTTCAGACCTCAGCCCCTGCCTACCAGGCAGTACCCTCAACTACAGCTTCCTGTTTCAGCCTGGTGGGGGCAGGGGTAGGGGAGTGTGATCTGTTTGGGGCGAGAAGGCTCTGCAGGGCTGGTGCTGATTCCTGGGCTAGGGGCTCTCCGCAGGGCTTCTTGTGCATGGAGAAAGACTTTAACTCCCACCTCTGCTCCTGAGAGCTGGCCCAAGGGGCCTTTCTGCAGAATCTCTGGCTATGCCCAGGAAATGTGCCCCATCAAATCTGGCCACACAGGAGTGGACACCATCACTGGAGAAATGGTAGAAACAAGAATCCTTCCTCAAACCACTGTCAGTGGGTGAAAATGCTTCTTTCCCAGAATAAAAGAAAAGAGTGTCATTCATTCACTCAGTCAGATGCTGCTGAAAACTGCTAGGCTCAGAGGTTCCTCACCCACCCAAGGCTAACCCACCCAACAGCTCAGTGTCATTCTGCACCCAGGCAGTGTGGTAAAGTAGGGATTGTCCTGCCTATAAAATGGGGAAAGGCAGTTCTTATCCTGGCTCAGGCCTCAGTTCCCTAATCTGTAAAATAAGAGGAGAAATCATCTCTTAGGGTCCTTTCTGCTGTAACATTCTATGGCCCCACCTTTATCTTTGGGGACTTGGCCCAACTTCAACCCTTAAAGGAAGTTTTGGGGCCTAATAGGCCACAGTGTGAGCAAGCGTGTGGAGGAAACAGGCAGATTCAGATCTCCTGTCACTTCCCAGGACCCACAGAGAGCATCTTTCCTTATCACTGAAAGGGGCAGAGTTCTTGCTCCTGCATTGAGGCAAAGACATGGACATGGATCAGTGCAAGGCTCCAGACACAGGCCATCCCCTCTCTACCCTTGTACATGGTGAAGGACATAGAGAAGCCATCAACCCATTTGCCATAGCTGTCCTCAGACTTCTCATCTCACTGTCAAATGATGTATTTATTTATACTTCCAAGGAAGGAGAGCTGTTAGTGTCCTGTCCATGGAGAACCAAGCTATGTGGTTGCTGAAGAGGTCAAATGGGAATGAAAATGCCCCTCCTGTTAAAACTCCATCTCCCAAGAAAAACAAAGCCCCTTCTCTCAACCCTTTCTTTTAGACTCTGTGGTGCCCATTTTTAATGGGAGAAATAAGAATTGGCAGCCCTAAATGTAAGGGTTGGAAAGAGACCGTTAAAAAAGTTTTTTGTCAGGTTATTTCAAGAAAACACTAGGGACAGGTGACACAATTTAGAGGAACAATGAAGAAAGTTTGACTGTGGGTCAGAAGGGACCTTTCACAATTGTTGACATCTGGTTCTATGACACAGAATAACAGCATTATGGAACATTACTAAGAGAGAAATGGCAGGCTAGAGGATGGGAAGTGGATAGAAGCTGGGCCAGGGCTGGAAGAAATGACTCTAAGTAATAGAGACCTTTATAGTAGCTCTATTGTACAAACTAATTTGCTCCACTAGAGATCGTTACAGAATCAAAGAGTTTGAAAATCAGAAGTGCCTTAGAAAATATTCAGTCCAGTATCTATCTGAATGATTTTTAAGATCTCTCTCAGCTCCAAATAAAGTGTGTTTTTTTTAACCTCAGAATCAATTTTTCAAAAAAAAAGTAACTTAGAAGCCCAAGAGTTAACAACAGCTAACACTTCTAGGGGCTTATTATGAATCAGACACTGTTATCCCATTCAACCCACCCAATTGCCGTATGAGGTGGCTACTATTCTGGCCCCTTCTTTACAGAGGAAGAAACAGAGGCACAGGAAAATGCAGTCAGTGGTTAGGAGCCAACAGAGCAGGATGTAAGAGGAGCTTCTCTAGTTAAAGCAGGGTTGAGGGGGAGATGGGGATGGGAGCACTGTGGTCTGCCACTTACCCCTTGTCCCCAGAGCTCAGATAAAGCCAGGGATGAGAAAACTAGCAGCTAATATGAGCTGCTCAAAGTCACACCACTAGTAGTGGCAGAACTGGCACTGACGCTGTATCCTGACATCTGGCTGAGGGCTCTTTCTTCCACACCTACTGAACCCCTCTCTCTCTCTGGTCTGACCTCCAGATTCTCCCAGCACCATGAGAGTGTCCATCCTCAAAAAGACATCTAACTGAAATCTACAATGAAACTCATCAGAGAGAAAAGGAATTATATGAGCCCAAATTTCTATAGCATGCTCACAATTAACAAAGCATTCCTGAATTTATTACTTCACTTGCTCTTTATGATAACTCTGTGATGTAGGTATTTTTATCCGTATTTGTAGATGAAGATTCAACATGATTCAGTGACATGCTCAGAATAACACAGCTAGAAAGTGGTAAAAGCTGAGGTCTTCTGCCTCCGCATCAGTTGCTAATGTCCTGAGTCCCAGGTATTTAGAGTCCAAGAAGCTTGACAAATTACAGTAGGGCCTTCCTTGCATGGAAATGGGGTTAGAGGGAATGTGGTAGGGTATACGGCAGAAATAGGAAGTGTTCCATACAGGGCTACTCTCCCTCGTATACACAGACAAGTCCTGGTTGAAATGTGACAAAGATAAACATTTTAATATATACTTAAAACTTTAAAGAAAGAAAAGGAAATTTCTTGGAGCCAAAAACAAAGGGAGACACTCAGCCAAGTTGGTAAGTGAGAGTGGTCAGCCCAGAGACCCTGGGCAGGTGGGCAGGACATTCCAGCAGAAGCACTGGCCCTCAGGCTGGGGCTCACCTTGTGAACACACCCAGGGACGGAGATGCAACTTTGGGCCTGTGTGAGGCAGGGAAGCTGAACAGAGCTCATACAGAACTTTGTACTCCCTATGGCCTGAAGTCCGGAAGGCCTGCAACTTCTGTAAAGAGGGGGATTAGAAAACTTGCCTGTCAAGGTCATACTTTCTATGTGACTGAGCACCTGGAAAAAAATTAGACACCTGAACTCAAACCATGAGAACGTGTGGGATCTGAATTTGCACTGCACAGTGTAGGTACTGCAATCAGAGAACTTAAAAATAAAAACCAGTCCTGGATCATTGAGTTCCTAAGCTTCCAAGGGAAGCAAATGCCAAACCTCTCTGCTGGGATGCTTTCTTCAGTTCAGGATGCATGCAAAGACAATCTTTTAAACCTTTGAAAAGTTGTTCAAGTAAGAAAAATACAAATCACACAAGAAAATGAACTATTGACAAAAAGAGCCTGCAGATGCACAAATTGGAAAATTAACACTACAAAAACTAGAAATAAAAATAATCTGAAGATTAATTTATAGTAAGCATGATTAAAATAAAGAAATAAAAAGAATGATCAGAAGCTAAAATGAAAACATGGAACATTGTGAGTAGGAATAAGCATATATGAAAAATAGCAAAATATAAATGTTAGAAATGAAAATAAAAGCATGGACAGTAGGCTACATAAGGGAGTTAAACAGGTTTAGTCACAGCAAAACAGAGAATTAGTGAAACTAAAGATTGTTCCTAGGAAATAACAAAGAATGTAGCCTAGAGTAACAAAAGATGAAAAATATAAAAGAACTGATTAAGCAGGATTGAGGATGGAATGACAAGTCCAACATACCTCTACTAGGAATTCCAGGAGAGAGACTAAAAAGAATGAGAGAGAGGCACTGTTCAAAGGGAGAATGACAGAATTTTCCAGAATTGAAGAAAGACCTAAGTCTTCCATGGAAGAAGTACACCCAGTCCTGAGCAAAATACATAAAAATAATATAATTTTAGCACGTTTTCCATTTCTTTAAGTTATAGGTCTTTTCAGGT